GGAGGTTTTTACATCCTCCAGTCAGCTTAAAGATTAGGAGAGCATGCACCCTGTCTCAATGCCTAGCTACTGCAATCACACAGTGTTCACGAGTGCGGAAGCGTGTATTTGGCCAATAAGGGCTTAGGCAAGGTTCCTGCAGACACCCCCACCCTACTTCCTCCCGGTGCCGTCTTAGGCTGCCACGTTAATACGCCCTTATGGGCCCATAATGGCACCACTTGTAATGTCACTTAAGGTGGAGTTAGTTTTTAAGGCCCAACATAGGATGGCTACTATCAAAAAACCAGAAAATAACAAGTGTTGGAAAGGATATAGAGAAACTGGTACTCTTGTGCATTGTCAGTAGGGGTGTAAAGTGAGCGGTGTAGCTGCTGTGGAAAACAGCATGGTGGTTCCCCCAAAATTAAAATTAAATTGTCATATGTTCCAGCAACTCAACTTTGGGTATATACCCAAAAGAATTAAAAACTGGGTCTTAAAAAGACACTTGTACACCTATGCTTACAGCTTCACTGTTCACAATGGCTAAAGCATGGAAGTGACCCCAGGTGTCCACCGACAGATGAATGGATGAGCAAAATGTGGCTAAAAATACAGTGGAATATTATTCAGGCTTAAAAATGAAAGAAATACTGACATATGTATAGAGTGGATGAACCTCGAAGATGGTATGCTAAATGAAATAAGTCAGTCATAAAAACACCAGTATGGTATGTGTTAGTCCGTTTCTGTTGCTTACAACAAAATACCTGAAACTGGATAATTTGTAAAAAAANGAATTCACACAAGGTTGGGAACAGTTCGTGTTGCCACTGGCCAGAGTGGAAAAACTCATCAGTCATGGGGCATCAGGTAGAATACCGAAAGGCATTGGCTCAGTAGTGGCACCAGATCAACACTAGAACTAATGCTGCTCTGGTCCCATTTAACAGAGCTTCACTGTCAGCCTCGAAAGTCTCATGCTTTTTCCAAGTGACTTAGCNTAGGTGCTTTCAAGACATTCAAAAGGGGGAGGAGATCATACAATTGTTTATATGGGTATTGGGCTTAGAAGAGAGAATCTAAACTGCAGGTAAAAATGAATGCGTCTTCCATTAGGATTGTCGGGTCCGCCACCCGTGGACCCAAACAGCCCTTGCCTTGCTATCAGTCTCTCCCTTGGTGTCCCTTCTGGTGGGTGGAGATGGAGGAAGAGAGCCGTGAAGAGAGGTGAGCACAGCCGCCGGCCCCAACCAGCCCA